ATTATTATTATTATTATTATTATTATTATTATTATTATTATTATTATTATTATTATTATTATTATTATTATTATTATTATTATTATTATTACTTTTAGACCAGAACGGCAATCGTCCGAAACGGCAATTAGTCAACAAAACGGCAAGACCAAAACGGCACTAACTGTATGGTGATTGGCAAAATGGCTAAATAAAATACTACTACGCTACTAGGCCTATGAGAGTCTAAGTCGAGGGCGTAGATTAATCATTATAGTTATTGTTATAAAAATGTATACTGTACATAAATGATTGCGGTTATACAATCGCCTAAATTTGCAGAGGAAAAAATATAATTTAAAAAACGAAGAAAACAGTATATGCACTTGTATTTATGACGTTGTCTTATAATTATCAATGGGAACTCGTCCAGTGAATTACACAAGCCATAACAAGGTATTGTATGATGTATTTTGTTTTTGGTTTGCTGCCATCGTTCGACGACGAAGTCAACACGGATATAATACAAACCAAAGTTGTCAGTTATTTAATTTGAAACCAGTGTCAGTATAATCTTAGGTAAGCATGTGGTTAACATAAGCAAGAATTTAGTCCAATGAAACTGTTTATCATCTTGATACCTTCCGACGAAAATTGACCCTACCGGCGTCACCATGGCGTCCCAACTGATCGATCTAGCGTGACGTTGTTATGTGGGTGTTTTATAGATTATTGAGAATGGTAATATCACAGAAAAAATAGATAAAATGACAGTTTAATTGACAACAAAGGCAACTGAAGACAATAGTTCGTCATTAGAAGTTATTTAACTTTATTCAGAAAATTAATCTTAAAATCGAGTTGCCGTCCCCTGCGTTGTCAGTGACGTCGTATGACTTGTGTGCGATTTTTACAAATTAACCCCTAAGTAAAAAATAGTTGAGCCATATAATACCGTGCAAATCAAACCAGAAACCCGGTAGTTTGTTGATTGTTTATTAGTAGCTTCCCTTCTCAGCCAAAAATAGTTTTTGGCATTTGCGTCCCCGGTGACATCGTGAGGGCATGGTTAAGGCTGGTTACGATTTGGTAGCACATCGATTGAGTATTTTCATTCATCTGGCCATTTAAGTCAGTGGCGTATCTAGATGTCTTGAAATGGGAGGCTGATAGGAGGGGAGGGGGGCGATTGATTGGCCGAGCGGTTAAGTCAGGGCACCGTAACCCTCAGCTATAATATCGGCGCTGGTTTGAACGGCTCACTCGCCAATGGTTCCGGTGGTGGAACAAGTCTTCTCGGATAAGGATTTAAACCGTAGGCCCAGTGTACGCATTTGTCTCGTGTGTACTTTAAAGAACCCAGTAATTCTTCGAGAAGTGTAGGGGTTACCCCGGTGTATTGGTCCATTCAGTCCCCTGTCCTCTGCGGATATGCCACATAGGATAATGATTAAGTTCACTTATTGGCATATCCTTGGCGCTCTTGCCTAAAAAAAGAAATGAAATTAAATGTGAAGTGGGAGGGGCTCGATGATCAGTTGAGGGGCGCTAATTCGCAAAATAAGGTAATTTAGCTGATTTTTAACTACTTGACCGTGATTTGAAACCAGTGTCAGTATAATCTTGGTAAGCATGTGGTTAACATAAGCAAGAATTTAGTCCAATAAAACTGTTTATCATCCTGATACCTTCCGACGAAAATTGACTCTACCGGCGTCACTACGGCGTCCCCACCGATCGATCGGACGTGACGTTGCTATGTGGGTGTTTTATAGATTATTAAGAATGGTAATATCACCGAAAAAATAAAAACAATGACAGTTGAATGACCAACAAAAACAACTAAAGACAATAGTTCGTCATTAGAAGTTATTTAGTATAACTTTATAGGGAAAATCACTCCCAAAATCGAGTTGCTGTCCCCGGCGTTGTCAGTGACGTCGTATGATTTGTGTGCGATTTTTACCAAGTAACCCCTAAGTAAAAAAATAGTTGGGCCATGTAGTACCTTGAAAATTAACCCAGAAACCCGGTAGTTTGTTGATTGTTTATTGGTAGCGTCCCTTCAAAAAAAGTTTGAAGGCTGGTTACGATTTTGTGGCACATCGATTGAGTATTTTCATTCATCTGGCCATGTAAATCAGTGGCGTATCTAGATGTCTTGAAATGGGAGGCTGATGGGGGGTGGGGCGAAGGTGAACTGAGAGGGGGCTCGATGATCAGTTGAGGGGCGCTGATTCGTCAATGGAGATGTGCACACATATCAGTGTACCGTGGTCACTGTGCATGGGGTTGTCTGAGTTTCCATGCTGGTGCATCTGCGCTTAAACTTTCTTTGTAGCTATGCATTGCGCGATGTGACATAGAATCAACCTTTCAATGGAATTGGGTATCCATTCAATTATCTCAAACTTGTCTTTTTTTTGGTGATAAATGGGGGGGGGGGCGGTGCGTCGCAGACTTAGGTAAGCATGTGGTTAACATAAGCAAGAATTGAGTCCAATGAAACTGTTTATCATCTTTATCGCACAAGGCAGGACAAAAAGATGTTACAATAAAAGATGATGCAAGGATGGTCTATGTAAGTTTTCTTTAAAAGTAAAACTTAATTCCAATGTGGCACTACATAAAGCCAATTATAAACATGGAAGTGTACAACTATAAATACGGTAAAAAAATAGGCTAAATTGTCATAGAAGTAAAACAAACGCGAAAGAAGAACAACATAATTAATAATTATAATAATGATAATAATAATAATAATAATAATAATAATAATAATAATAATAATAATAATAGAAATAATAATAATAGTAATAATAACAACAATACAACATACAAATTCAACAGTAAGAAAGATTGGGGGAAACACAATATACTGTATAATATATGCAATATAAAATCATTGAACATTTAAATAATTAAAGCCTTAAATTACAGATAATATGAGGCTAAACAATTTATGTCATGAAAGTAAAAAATGGGAAAGAAAAATAATAAAAATAATAATAATAATAATAATAATAATAATAATAATAATAATAATAATAATAAAATAATAATAATAATAATAATAATAATAATAATAATAATAATAATAATAATAATAATAATAATAATAATAATAATAATAATAATAATAATAAATAAATAAGCCTTTAAAATAACGAAATAATTCGTCAAGGATATGTAATAAAAAAAATCGGTGGCGGTTCAGTCTTGGCATTGATTTTCTCCTTTGCCGTTTTGATAGTTGACATTGCCGTTTTGGTCTGTTGCCGTTTTGGTACTTATCATTGCCGTTTTGGTTTATTGCCGTTTTGACCATTGCCGTTTTGGTCATTGCCGTTTAGTTTGCCGTTTTGTCCAGAAACCATAATTTGTACTGGTTACGTTAATTTTCGTTGTCAACGAAGTCTATTTTACCATTTTATTATTAACCAGTCGATTGAAAATAATACTCAACGAAACTTCGTACTCAACGAAATGAACCAGTCGATTACAGTAAGCCCAATGTTTATTTCATATTATAGGTGGCGCTTTCTCTGTTTGTTTTTGAAATACAGTAGCGGCCTGTACAATTAATCATGGCGGATGATGCTGCTAAAAGAAGAGAGGCAAGACGACGTAGAATTCTTCAAAGTCCTGAAGAACGGATGAGAAAAATAGCTGTTGTTGGTTCAAATGGTACTGCTGGTGTGTTCCCATGTTCATTTTTGAGCTTATTATTTTCATCTAGGCCCCTATCTATCATTGAAATAAACGTTTCTAGGCCTAGGCTAGGCCATAGGGCCCTAGGCCTAGGTCTGTGCAATGTAGTATAGAAGTCGCTAAGGCATAGGCCTATAGAGTGGTGGTCAGACAATCT